GTATGGAAAAAAGATTTCTTATATTTCCGTACAATTTTGCAGATGTAATTAGAGTATTTTGCAAATGTCATATTTGAAATCTTCAACTACAATTGAAACACCTTCGTTTTCACCCTTTTAAATAGACAACATATTTTTGCCCAATAACATCACCATTTTGCAGATGACAAAACTATTTTGCGATATAAAACTAGTAGCTATTTTAATAAATTGCTTAATTTTTTTTATTTAATCTTAAAAAAATAAGACAAAATGTAGAAAATAACAACCACTTATCAACCAACATTCATAAAACCCTTATATTTTACTTATATGCAGAAAACTCTTACATTTCAATTATCTTTCACATTAACATAAATATCTATTTTTAAAAAAATTACAAGTTGTTTATGGCATGACATTTATAATTAATTTTTTATATTTTTGGTTAATATGGAATCAAAAATAAGTGATGTTGCCTATTTATTAATGTAAATGATATATTTCTCATTTAGTGAACGACCATTTACTCAAGCAAAAATAAGTTACATTGTTTATTTTTTTTTCAATATCAATCTAAAAACGAAGTAGATAAACGTCATGTTACAAAACCAATAACTTTTAATAAAAATGGATATTTGAGTAAATCTGAAACGTAACTGAAATGTAAGGATTTTTCTGTATATAAACAAATATAAGGATTTTTTATAATTATGGCAGAATTTCGTATATGCCCTTGCTAAACAACTAAATATCATATTTACCCAGCCTAAACTCTAAATATCGTATTTGTCCTTCTTAATGTATTTTAATATCATATATACCCAAATCTATTTTTTTGTTAAATTTTATTGATTTATAATTGTTTTTCATAATCTAAAATCACCATAATTAAGAAAAACATTGTAAATTGACAATAATGCCCTTAGTCTAAATTCCAATACAACACGTTTTTTGCATCTTTTTCTTCCTTCCGATTGCATATACTTATTCGCCTATGTTCAACGCCGATCAACGTCGTATGCTACATCGATCGATTACCAGTTTTTATTCGAAGCCGCATATTATATCCGAGATTCAGGTATTCATCAGAAGGCAGAATATTCAATCATCTAGAATGCGAATTCCGTTTTTAGGGTTCCTAGTTTCAAATTTTCAAATTCTGTTATAGTTGCGATCAAGATGAATTAACATGAATATAGATTCAATTGTTCAACTTCTTTCATGTCTCTCTGGCGTATACTATCCCTAAATTTAATCACTAGTTTATTTCATTATGATTTTGTTCAAAGATATACATGCTTGAAATCGAAAGAACCAGGCCTTCAAAAAATTTCTCAACGAGCTGCAAGTGGACTAAATTAGAATATATGATATGTGAATTGAACTCCATGGGTTTTAGGGTGGAATTGGATTCCAATTCCGACCATTTTCCATGGTATCCGACTCATACTGTTCGACATATGATTTTCCTCCAAAAGTTAGTGAAAAGCTTAATTTTAAATGGAGTTCTGACTAGAGAGTTTTATGATTCTATTTCTATATCTAAAAGAGACTTTCAGCTGTTGCATCTAAAGAAGTTTACCACTGATACCATTGTTGACTTTAACATCAAGTTGAGTTTTATTGTTTTAGTTTTTTTTACCTGAAGAAGATCAAACCTGCTGATGAAAGTATCCATTTCTTCAATAGCTTTTCTTTAGAAAGCTGGCAGATTTTGATGAAAATCAACTACAAATGTTTGAGGCTAAGGAATCTTTTGAACGAGTTCGGAAATGGACAAAGAAGGTGAACATTTTTCAAAAGGATTATATTTTTATTCACACTTCAGGTGAGTGTTTATTATTCAAAAGGATTACATGATCAATGCTTTCTTATTTGTCCTATATTTGGTATGTGGCAGGTTGCATTGGAGTTTGATTATTGTATTGCAATTTAGAACTGCGATCGTGAGGAATTACATGAATTAAATTTGTTTGAATTTGAAAGCCAATGAATTAAACGTGTGATTTGTAAAGGAAGGGCAATATTGTCCATTTGATTGTTGTTTTTAGTTTTAGTGATTTTAAAATGGTAAAAAAGGATTATAAATCAATAAAAATTAACAAAAAAATATATTTGGGTATATATGATATTATAAAACATTAAGAAGGGCAAATACGATATTTAGAATTTAGGCTGGGTAAATATGATATTTAGTTGTTTAGCAAGGGCATATACGAAATTTTGCCTTTAATTATTGATAGATAAATAATTATGTTTTTCAGCATTTTATCTTAAAAATATATAAATAAAACTAGTGTGATTTGAATTTCTATTTTGTTTTGTTTTTTTATTTCCAGGTCACCAATCGATTATCGTTAAATGAAAAAAATAATAATAATCTTAAAATAAAAGTTTACAAAATCAATTTACCTTCTAAAAACTAAAAGGTTATCACAAAAAGGTAGTTCGAACTTTTTGTTCGGGGAAATCGTTTCCTAGTGCAGTGGGGATCCGAGTTCCTACTTCATACCCTAGTTAAAACTTAAAATTGAGGAACAGCAGTGGGTGAGTTGAGTGGGTCTATTGAAATCAGTGTGTCATCATGAGGATAGCTCATCCTCCGGTAGCCGTCGCATTCGCCGCCACACCGGAAGAAGACGTCTTCGACTCCGTACGAACTGCCGCCGCACAGCTGAATGTTGGTGGACCAGGTCTCCGCAAAAAGGCAACAGGAGTCAGGCCATGGCTACTCCTCGATTCAACCGGTCAGGCTCAAATTATCGAAGCCGGCAAGCATGCTATCATGCGCCGCACGGGGCTACCTGCGCGCGATCTCCGCATCCTAGACCCGATCCTATCATATCCCTCTACTGTTCTTGGCAGAGAACGAGCCATCGTCATCAATCTGGAGCATATCAAGGCCATAATTACGGCACAGGAGGTGCTGTTGCTTAATTCTAAAGATCCTTCTGTTACTCCCTTCGTTGACGAACTTCAACGCCGTATCTTGCGTCATCATCAGGCTACTTCTCAGGTTCTCTATTTTTCTTAATTCTTCTCTAGCATCGTTTAGAGATTATTTGCCCGTGTTTGAATTTATCGATATCTCTAAATAATTGAACTCCCTTTAGTTCCGTTTAGTGTTGTTTGAGTTCAACTTATCCGAATCAAAACTGTGATTGCGTTATGTTTATGGAGTGTCGAATAATCTATTGGCTGAATAATGCCCTAATTCAATTGCAATCACTAAAATTGTTCTTCTACTGTTGTTCTATATAACTACGTGAAACCAAATTGATTGTCAATACGAACACTAGTCGATTTGATCTGGAAATTTTAACCGGAAAAAAGCATTTGCTTACTCCTGATATAGGCTGTATCAATGTAATTGCAGTCAGTATCTCTATATCTGCACCTCCATCAAGGTGTTCATCTATGTATTACAATTTGTAGTTTACCTAATTTTAATGTTCCTGGAACTCTGTTTAGGAGGGATTGGTAGACGGTGATACTGAGTGGAGACATTTGTATGATCTGGGAGAACCACGTTCAAGAGAAGTTAGCCCACCAAGAGTATCATCAAGCATCCCAGAAAGAGGCCATGAGGTTAAACCCGATGGAAAACATTCTTTTGACAAGAGAGATGGACCAAAGCTTCTTCCATTTGAGTTCATTGCACTTGAGGCATGTCTGGAGGCAGCTTGCAGTTCCTTGGATAATGAGGTGAGAGGTTTTAGGACTCCTTTCTTCTTCCTCTTCTTCTTCTTCTTCTTCTTCACTCTGAATCATTTTCATATCTTAAACTAGGCAAGAACATTGGAGCAAGAAGCACATCCAGCACTGGATAAGTTGACTGGAAAGATTAGTACTCTGAATCTGGAACGTGTCCGCCAAATCAAAAGCCGATTGGTTGCTATTACAGGACGTGTTCAAAAGGTTTTTGGATTCATATTTCATACTTCATAATTCAACTCAACATGGCATCACTTGATAATATTCGACTGATTTAGGTCAGGGATGAATTAGAGCATTTACTAGATGATGATGAAGACATGGCTGAAATGTATCTAAACCGAAAAGCTAGAGCAACAGCTTGATGATGCTTCTTCTTCCACTTTCGTTAACGATGAAGATGTGGATGAAGAGATTCTTCAAACAGAAATTGATGACAGGTTTTTGAGTCTCCTTTTTTTTTTTTTTTTTTTTTTAAATATATTTTGGTTGATGTTGTTAAAAACTATTGTTATATGTTAATAATATATCAGAGTTCCTGGTGAGGAATCAATCGATCAGCAGCCTGAACAACTTTATCGAGCCAATACACTTGGGAGAGAAAGCCGTGGGACCCGCACCAGTACAACACGAAGTGGTCATAGCAAACATCTTGATGTTGAAGAACTTGAAATGCTTTTGGAGGCTTACTTTGTTCAGATTGATGGCACACTCAATAAACTATCCACAGTATGTGACTTGGTTTTCTTTGTTGTTAAGTAATAAGTATAGAACAGGTGTAAGTGGTGTTATATTAAATTATGGATTATTACAGTTGAGGGAGTATGTGGATGACACGGAAGACTATATCAACATAATGCTGGATGACAAACAGAATCATCTTCTCCAAATGGGTGTGATGTTGACGACAGCAACGCTGGTGGTGGGTACATTTGTGGTGGTGGCGGGAGTTTTTGGAATGAATATTCATATTGAGCTTTTCAACGCTGACACTGGCGCAGAAAAGGAAGTTGGAATGCGTAAATTTTTATGGACAGTTGGTGGTGGGACAACTGGCAGTATCTTCTTATATGTTGTCGCCATTGCTTGGTGCAAGAGCAAAAGGCTTCTAGAGTGATCACACGTGTCTGTGTTTGTGTCTCCCAATAATAATAAATCAGTTACCTCTTATTATTATTATTATTATTATTATTATTATTATTATTATTATTATTATTATTATTTCTTAGTAATAATGCCGATTATGTATTTAGGAGTATTGATGGTTGTATATAGTCGAAGTCTCTATATTGGAATGATGTTCGGTTTTTTCTTAACCATGGAAGGACTGTTTTTTTCTTTTTTTGAATGGAGTTTCAGCGGGATGCTAGTATTTTAGGTTTAGTTAAAAGTCGTATGTTTAGTTAAACATAACATGGGGTTTTCCGGCGCCAGGTCACAAAAACACAAGTGGGCGTTGCTGATACTGATAATTCTTGTTGAATGTTCGACGATCTGGTTACCTTTTATTTACCTTGAATATGAATCGTATTGAGTTATTGACCCTTGGGGGATATTATTGACTAGTTTTTGTCTAGACTTTCATTTTGAAAAGTGAACTTTATATGGTGGATTTATTATTTTAAAGGTAGTTTTGGATAACTTAAGAGTATATTGGAGTTATTGGAGTCCCTTCGAGTTTGTTTCTTTTGGGGCTAATTTTGGTGAGCGAAAACTCTCTTGGGTCTGTTGGAAGAAAGTCATGGCTAGTAAAACAGAAAGAGGTGACGGTTCTTTAAACATTGTGACGCGTTGTGGAGCATATGATAAAAGCGCTACACGGGAGTGACAGTCACATTAAGCAAAACTCGTTTGGGAATGTTTATAATGGTCCTTGGATTAACCTAATACATGCTACGTGGAACTTCAGATTAAATGTCTTCATCTTAAATATTTTTGTAAGATTAAGGTTGATGAAGTATTGAATCAAGTAATGAAATCAAAATCAGAGTATCGAGAAATGAGAACACAGAATGTAAATAAGATCTAGTTTCAGCTCGTATTATGCTTCACGGTTACAGAGAGAAAATAGACAACATAATCTCCAAAACTCTTATCTAACTCTAAGTAACATTCCCTATATATAGGAAAACAGTAAAGCATACAAAAAATTACAAAGGACTAAACTTCATAGTTTCGACATAATATGCCTTTGCAAAATAACATTACATTTCGACACCTTACAACACTACTTCGACTCTTACAATCTCCCCCTTTGTAAGCAGTGTCGGAATCAGTTGATCAAAACTTGACCAGCCATGTGTAATGTTCTTTGAATTTCAACATACCAATTCATCACCTTCTTTAGTTCAGCCTTATCTCCATCGTTATTCTTCTTACAACTATTCATATGCACAATTAAGTTTGTATAATGAGCAGTTGTATATCTTTCAATTTCGCTTATTTGGAAAAAGAACTTCGATGATTTTCCCTTCTTACTCTTCCCAGCAAAAACTATACCAAATGGCTTCAAACATATTTCACCATCCACATACTTCTTCAACTGAGCTTCACTCATTGTCTTGGTTTGAGGAACAGTAACTTCTTTTTCCATTGTTGCAGCCAACTCAACGTCTGTCATAGCTAGACAATCATAGTAATTGTCTATGAAAAGCTTTATATGACCCATACCCAAATGTAACACATCCTTGCTTGTGTTTTGGAGTTTAGAAGCATCCAAATCCTTGAGTATATATGCAACTTGAATCAAATCATTCAAGTTCATCAAAGGGAAATCAGCAATGGAAAATCGAAAGGTACTTTATTTGCCCTCACAACGTGATATCGAAAATTCTGCAGCATATTTTTGAAAAGTTCACCTTTCGTTATACTGAGCACTTGAACAATTTTCACCAATGACCAACCTCTTCTTGTTCCTTCCCCAACACTGCATGGAACCTCAGCTTCATGTGAGAAAAATCATCCTTGTTCTTGAATCTATTCACAACCTTATATTGAGCAATGAGAAACATCATCTCATTGGTGGGAAAATCAAGCTGATTCATATCAGAGTTCTCAATTGCATAACTCTTCCTTGGCTTTTTCTCGAATTCATACATTTCGTTGTATGCAACTCTGGCTTCAATATTTTCATAACTGTGCAATCTCGTTGGATCACCTTTGTTCATTGTAGGTGGATCATTTGCACGAAGCATCAAAATACTCTGAATATGACGCTGCTTCTCCATCTCTGCTTCAATTTCCGCCTTTCTTTCTTCTTTCGTCTTTTCAACAAGAATTGTTTTCCCTTTGTCTGAAGTTGTTGTAGTTTCCTTAGGGTTTGAACTACTTCCCCCTTCACCAGTTGACCCAATTACAATGCCTTTTGTGATTGGCCTTGTAGTAACTGTAGTTGCCATTACTGGTTCAACCTTCGAAAATATAGGTTTTGTTGTAGGAATTTGAGTCTTGAAAACTTTACCCACAACCTTTGTTTCTTCATTCGTTTTCTCAGAAACATTTGCTCCTTTACCAACACCTTCCTTTTCTCCCCCTTGCACCCCTGTGATAACAGGTGGGGCATTCGTTGGTAAGATAGTGACAAACTGAGACAATGGAGCCAACATCTTTTGAATTGCAGCCTCGAAGTAATGAAACTTCTGATCAACAAACTCAGGAGTAAAGATTGAGGATGAGCCAGAATTCGAAACAATTCCCTTCAATTCTTCAAGCAGAGTAGTTAGTTGTCCAAAACTTGTAACAGCAGCAGTTGCTTTCTCATCAAACTTATGATCAAAAGATTGATGGGTTTTAACAAACGTAGTAACACCATCCGCTATAATATCAACTTTTTCAAGAAGAAAAGAATATTTGTTATCCAACTCACGAAGCTCTGAAGACACACTCTCTTTCATTTCTTTAAGCTTTTGATTCACATTTTCACGAACAATTTTTACATCTTGCACAAAATGAACATGACGTTCCTTGGCAACACGTTGCAAGTCCTTGAGCGCATCATTAAAAGTCGGAGATGCAGATTTGACTCGTAATTCGGTATTTTGATCCATGGAATCAAGCTTTTCGAAAAGATGAGATTCAAAAGCATTCATCAACTTATCCACTTTCTTGAATAACCGAACCTCCTGAGCTTTAAGCATCACATCAACTTCAATACTTGAAACGAAATTTTGACCCCCTGCATCTGCTTGGGATTAAAGTATTGAATTGAGCTTTTTGTTTAGAATCTTGAACTGCTTCCCGGACATCAGCATATGATCTGGGATATCTTCTTCTTCTGGATCAAATTCCAAATCAACAAATGATCCTCCAAACCCTCCATCATCAGTATCATCATCATTAAGAGGTTTAGGTGGGTCAGTAGATTGGGATGAAAAAAGAGAAGTAATGGGATGATTTGATGACCATATCAAAAGTAGGAGAATGAGTGGTTGTGGAAATAGTGGTGATAATTAGTGGTAACGAAGTATTGGTTTGAGTAGTGGAATGTTCAAGAATACCTTGAGTAGCAACTGGATGTTCATTGTTCGAAACTCCTTCACCCATGTTGACATTCACATCCATATCAGATACGTGTGTGGAAATGCTTGAGGTTCGAACCTCCTCATAAAATGATTCAGTTAACGAAACCTCGGGTGGTATGACCGAAGTCTGCATATGAGTCGATACTTGTGTTGATTCACCAAAAATACTAGATGTGTCCACTATCGAAGTTTCCACAGAGCTACTTAAAATTCCTGTCATTTCGAAAGTTGACTTGGCAGGTGATTTCTGTTGAGGTGAAATATTACCTATTGGAGAATCAGGAACAATTTCTTCTTCTTCTTCATCTTCCTGAAGGATCAACTTTCGCTTATTTGGCTTCTTAGTCTTGTTGGAAATATGCTTTGCAACATCCTCAGCCCTGCGCTTCTTCGATGATGGTGACACTGGCATAGGAACTTCACGAAGAACAACATCTTTCCGAGTGACATGGGGCTTACGAACCATTGATGGTGAGAAACTAGATGACCTCTCAGGAGATTTTTATGGATCTATGAGACATCTTTTTGAGTCGCTTTAACACACCAGATTTTGTGGGAATAAGCTGCTTGGTAGAATCAGGTTGTGTAGTCTCCTGAGATTTTACAGATTTCTTCGAAACTTTCACTACCTCTACAGGCTGTTTCTTTGGTGACTTAGAAACAGTTGTTTCTTTATCATTTTTCTCAGGAGTTGAGACATCAACAGTCTTTGACTTCTGATATTTCTTCGAAGAGCCTTCATCATGTTTTGGCAACAAAATACCAATTCCATCATTTGTGTTGATTGTAAGTAAATAAGCCTCCAACACAGGATTCGAAGGGTCAACCTTCTTGAGCATCCCATCAGGAATCCTAGCAATTGTTGGAAAAATATTCATATCATCTTCAATCGTCTTGGGATAATGATACTTCAAGAATTCAACTTTAGGTTCATCAGCAGGTACCAAAATACTTTCCTTTTCATAGGCAAATTGGAGAATTAGACTCCAATACCTTGCACATGAAATCCCATCAACCACATTCGTATTGTCAATGCTCTTCAAGAATTCTTTCCACATCTGAGTTGCATAGTCAACAGGTATATCATAATAAATACCTGCGACCATAGCATACACCTCCATACACTCTTTATCTAAACCAACATTACGACCTGTAAGACATCGAAGGTAAATCCCAAAAAGAAAATTCCACAAACTTGGAAGACAAGACTTCTTGAATTCACTGATCTTTAAGAGAGTAGGTTGATAACCCATCTCATTGAACATGTGTAACACCTGTTCATTAGTTACTTGGTAGAAAGGTGGAGAATTAGGGATTTGAAGAATTTTGACAAATAACTTCTTGGTAAGACGAAACTTCTTCTCATTGATTAAATTGAAAGTCACAGTATCCATCGTCTTGCTGTAGGATGCAGTAGAACCCGCCATTGATAACCAGGACATAGGTACTGCAAATGCACTGAACATTGCAGTCGATAAAACAGAATGTTTTAAAGCCACAATTAGCATCTTGAGTTCTTCAGGGTACACAGTAACATCACCATCCACTTGATAATTGTTACTTTGGATCTTCATGATGGGTTGTTGAGAAGATGCATCGTCAGTTGTGTTTGATTGAAGAGCGGCCATGATTAGGGTTTGCTTTG